TGCTCCTTGCAAGTATTTGTCTACCCATCATTTTCTCTAACAACTTTATCATCTCTCAATTTATATGAATGTGTCTACTGTTTTTCGAAATATTCCTAGTCATTCGAAACTTATCTATTCAGATAGTCATATGTTTAAATGTGTTTTTTGCTTACCAGTCTAAATATTAGTTTTATACTCATTCACCAACCCACAACTTTTCAATTTCGGATTCCCTTTCGCTAGTTGTCGTTTGTTGTTACTGGAACATTCTAGCTGATGCTGTCCCCAAGGCAATCTCCTCCGATTCCAATGAAAAAGTACTAAGCTTTCGTCTGTCATATGACGGACTTCATTAGTGCAATGTATCTTCCATATGACTAATTCGAGTTAATGATTTAATTAACTTAAGCCTTGCATTCCCACTGACCACGTTTTTTTTGATAAACTTTTTAAATTCATGCGTTTACTCTTGTATTAGAATTCGATTTTGCTTATATCCCCATCTACTCTTTTTGCTCATTGATTTTTATTTATTGCTTTAAATTTTTCATTAACCATTTAATAGCCACATTTTTATTATACTTTACAGCCTTTTTAGGATACTTCGAGTTCATCTTTGAAATACTCCACGTTAACCTGCACTATTTCTAATCCTATTTAACTAGCTCGCCTTTGACCCTAATCCAGGCAGCTGCACTTGGGTGGCGATTGCGAATGCGATCGGCTTTGTGCAGTTCTTTTGTTTAGATCAATATCTCTACATGAGTGAGATGGATCAGCGTATGGGCCGCGAAGCATCAGGGCCTAGTGCCGCTTTTATTAATCAGTGCGCACGCAGTGCTAAGCCGATCGGCCGTCCACGCAAGACAAGTCTGGGAACACCGATTCCCGGTCTTACGAACAGTGGAGGCCTACGTCAAGAAATCATTCACGTCAATCCAGACGATGAAGAAACGAGGCGACTAGTGTCGGGTGGTCGCAGATCAAATCAAGCTCTACCAATTCATTCGGTTTCTGTCAAAGCTGCTGTTCCCGCTGCTGTCGTTAAACGGCCTGCACGAGTTCGCTTTAAGAGGCGAGTACGCGTTAATGTTGATTATGCTTCATCATCTTCGTCTTCATCTTCTGGGCACGAGGACTCCGAGGGATCTGCCGCCTCCTCGGACAATTGCGATCAGACTGGTCACTATTATCCCACGGAGAAGGCCCCTGGCTCTCAGCGCGTCAAAGATATGCCGTTGGTCAAGACTAAGAAACAATCAGCCTCAACAACTTCTGTTGCCGGCGCTGTTGGCCATGAGTCTGAAACATCGCTGACTAGCCCAGCATGTCAACACACTGGAATAAACTCTTTGACAGGGGACGAAACGTGTGATACTAGCCCAATGAGATTCGAGGAAAAGTTGGAGCCGCCGAATTAGTTGTCTTTATATCCGGAATCGGAGTGTCATATGTATATATCCACATCAATCCGAATTTTATGCTCGCTATGTCCTTCATCCGGTTTATTCTCTTGGTTGTAAAGACTCGATGTAGCTGGTTTTGTCTGGCAAAGTTACGCTTTTCTGGCCGCTATGCCTTTAATGTAAATATTTTCGAATGATGCTTTTTATTTGGCTGAGATGTCTTCTTTTATTTGTCTGTCTTTACTTTTAAATGAAAAGAAAATATCTCTATACATTTCATTTCAAACCAAAATTCTCTTAATTATAGATAGGCTATATCCTAAATCGCTTCTCTCGGGGCTTGCTAGTTTGAGTATCCTTACAAATTTGATGGGTCTCTGATTTTATCGAAGATTCTATTTTATGTAATAATTATCAGATTTGCCTTTGCTTTATTTAACATCTAATTTCGAGCATCTAAACGCAAAGGCTCTGTATTCGTGAATACAGGGCCCTAACTACAATGAGCCAGTATGAATCATATCGCCTTCAATAAAAGCTTATGCTTACCCAAATGATATTTTATAAAGATATATGCTGAGGGGGGTATATATATATATCCACATCAATCCGAATTTTTATGCTCTCTATCTCCTTCATCCGATTTATTCTCTTGGTTGTAAAGACTTGATGTAGCTGGGTTTTATCTGGCGAGGTTACGCTGCTATAGCCGCTGTGCCCTTAATGTAAATATTTTCGAATGATGCTTTTTATTTGGCTGAGATGTCTTCTTTTATTTGTGTGTCTTTAA